TTACCCAGGGTGATGGAATAAGACTCCATTGGAAGAGAGAGAGGAGAGGAGAGGAGAGGAGAGGAGAGGAGAGGAGAGGAGAGGAGAGGAGAGGAATAGTGTAAAGCTTCAGATGCAGTAAAAGCTTCAGGTGCAGATGGCTTTAGTTACAGATGACATGGGTTTTAAATGGTTTTATTTTTTAAATATATTTATAGAGATGTAATTGGGCATATAACACATTTCAAGAGTACAACCTGGTAAGTTTTTGTATATGTATATACCCATATGTATATACCCATTTGTATATGTATATACCCATACCACAGTTAAAAAAAAAAGAATGTATCCATTGCCTCCCAAAGCTTCTTCATGTCCTTTTGAAACCCCTCACACCTACTCCCTATACCCAGTCCTTGATTCTAGGCAACCATTGATCAATCTGCTTTCTGTCGATTTGTATTTTCTGAGTTTATATAAGGGAAGTGATACAGTATGCACTTCTTTTTCATGGCATCTTTCACTCAGCAAAACTATTGAGATTTATTCATGGTGGCATTTTGTTTTCTGTTGCCCCAGGCTAGAGTGCCTTGGAGTCATCACAGCTCACAGCAAACTCAAGCTCCTGAGCTCAAGTGATCCTTCTGCCTCAGTCTCCCTAGTAGCTGGGACTGCAGACGCCTGCCACAACCCTTGGCTAATTTTTCTATTTTTGTTAGAGATGGCGGTCTTACTCGGGCTGGTCTTGAACTCTGGAGTTTAAGGAATCCTCCCACCTAATGAGACAAAACTCTGAATACTTCACCCCATTACTTATGCATTATGAAACTTTAAATTCCAGCTCATAGGCACAGGCGATATTACTTGCCTTTGTGAGCTCACTGTTTTGTTGTTGTTTTTTTTTCCTGTATAGATCTCTGGAGGTATGTGTATGTGTGTGTGTGTGTGTGTGTGTGTGCGCACACGTGCACACGCACACTTGTCTCTCTTCCTCTGCCCTTTGAACTCTAGCTGTCCTAACCTCCTTGTTCTCCCAGTTCTGTCTCTTCAGCTTGTGAGGCCTTTGGATTATCTTTCTTTGTGCTAGAGGTTAGAAACTTACTCCATATAGTAAGATCCGGTGATGGTAGATCCCTCCTTATTTGTTCCCACTTTCCCATCTCTCACGAATAATTTTAGTCTATTATTTGATTCCAGTGAATTGAGAATCAAATGTGTATTTTAAGGTTGCCTCTTAGAACGGTCAATGGAGTAAATTTGTTCTCTGTTATTATATCTTGGACAACCATAGACGTATACCACAAGTATTTTTAAGCTTTGTTCTTATGTAGGGGTAAGTGACTTGGAAACAGTTTCAGACACTGTTTTTATGCTTTCTCAGGCAAGCCACAGAAGCATTCACTTTAGTCTGGGGCTGATTTTTCTCCACTATTAAAGAATCTTCTGAGTATTTTATTGAATGCCTCAGTAGAGAAAAAATATATACCTCATTTTTGAAGGCTCCTTGGTAAGCTCTCATTCCTCTTTCTCTTGCATTTCTGTACCCATCGTTAATACTTCACACTAACCTAAGCACATTACTCCATAATTATTGAAGAACCAGCTATTATTAGAATTTCTTGACAATGGTAAAACATTAAAAGAAACATATTTTAGTAAAGGGAGCTAAAGATCTTGGGGAAGGATTTAGGAATTCACAGACATAGAGTTGTCTTGGAACCCATAAATAGAAGAGTTAGGGATGAATTATTAGTAACTCTGAGAAAACATAATGAAGCATTCTTACCAATCTGACACTTGGCAATGTGAAAGACATGGTACAGTCCCAATGAAGCTTGTTGTGCGATTGCAGGATCATCATGGAAACACAGAAGCGACAGTTCTGCCGCCAGGACACCCAAACAGGGCGCATCAACGCTTCTCTGATGGAGAGACAAAGGGAAGTGCATTTGCTCTGCGGAGTCCGCACTGTCTGCATCTGATCCTGTTATCTGTAATCAGACTAGGACTAGAGGATCAACTTCCGAGTTTCTAAACTCCGCAATCAAATCCTGGATTGTTAGTGAGCCTCAATTTCCTCGTCTGTCCCACCAGCAACAGTTATTGTGAAGAGTAAGGAGGAAACATTCACGGTAAGAAGTTAAGTTCCCAGCAATGTTTTAAACGCAGAGTGTTTGCTTCTGATGTCAAAGCTACGGATACATTTATGTATTTCTCACTACAACATTTCTGACATGGAGACTGCTAAATATTTATGTTTCCATCTTGACTAACTTGTTTAGCTAAATGAAATCCCAATAGAGAAGGGAGTAGAGACACAGACGAGAGGGGATGTTTGAAGACAATTGCTTTTATGAAGGTGTTACCATTTATCAATTTTTTTGTCTCTTTTTTTCTTTTATGAAGGTAATACCATTTATCAAGTTTTTGTGTCTTTTTCTTTTTTAAAAACAAAGAAGGGCTCTGCCCACATGGAGGTTTGGCAAACTGATGGCATGGCCTGCAAGGTGTTCTCGTCTCTAAGACAAGTGACTGGTTTGATGATTGGAGCAGGTGTTGGTGCTAAGGGAGGTCCCAAGGCCTGCACCTGCTTCTTCGTCTTCTTCAAATCTTACTCCTCAGTTGGCTTGACTCTCTCTGTCTCTTTCTCTCTCTCTCTCTCTCTCTAACACACACACAGGATTTCCTAAGGAGGAACTCTGACATGTTGTCATGGGTTAAGGCCATAACTGAATTGGAATGTTAGGAATGATGGTCTCAGTAGCAGAAGAGAAGATTATAAATCTCTGTCTTCTATGAATGTTCTCCCTGGATTAAGGCTGGCCTGAAGAATGCAAGAGGCCTATGTCTTAGGAGAATCCAGAAGTAGACATGAGGAGCTATTCCCTAGGGAGAAATTATCACTTTCCTTGGATATCCTATTTTTTAGATTTGCATTTTAGGTTTCTTTCTCCTATCTGATGGCACGTTCTTTAAAACCACCTTTGTGTGTGGGCCTAAGTAAGAAGGATGAGGAGTTCTCTCTACTGGGCATGATAGCGGGGGAATACTCGCATAGCTTAGGTCACTGAAGAAGAAGCATAGCCCACTTATAGGAGATTGGCCCTGAGGCCTTACTGTATTTCCCTCTTTGCCTCAAATGTCCCCTCTGATTATCTCTTCTCATGAATTTGTGGATTCCTGTAGGTGTTATCGAGAGTGAAGCTTCTAGTCGTCACTTCTATTGAGTTTGCCAGACATGATCTGTCTAGGCACATGTCTCTAGCAGAGTAGATGTGGCCTTGTCTAGATTGCATTTCCACTTACTTTCATCAACTGAAAAGGCATGTTCAGGGAGTGGGGCTTGTCTAAGACAGGCCCAGAGAGGAGTAAGCAGTGTAGATGGTGGAACACACTGATTATACCTTGCACTGTCCCAGTGGAAGTGTGCCAACCCCAGGTACGCCTCCTCCAATGCCAGACTGAAATTTTTCAATATGATATACCCTGATTTTATAGAAAATCTATTCAAGTGCTACAAAAAAGTAAAAGGTAAGACAAGAAGAAAAGTAGTTTCTCAGTATTCATTCTTAAGTCCAAGTCCTCCTGCTTAGTCTTCTGGTTCTTTCTTCCTGGATCAGTTCCTTTCTATAGATTTGGCCTCTACAGTTTCCTGTCTTAATAATAATGAGAAGATTCCAGAGGCAACCACTTCTGAGATTTTAGATGCTTCTGTATAGATTCATATAATATGAAGCTTTTGGTGTCTGGTTTCTTTCACTTACTTTAATGTTTTTAAGGTTTAATTATGTTATAGCATATCTCAGACTTCATTCTTTTTTTGGCTGAAGAATATGACATTGTATGAATATACTACATTTTGTTTATTTATTCATCTGCTGGTGGAAATCTGTGTTGTTTCCACTTTTTGGCTACTGTAAATTTTGCTGCAATGAATGTGTATGTATAAGTTTTTGTCTGAATGCCTGTTTTAAATTCTTTTGCATATACATACCTAGGATTTCTGGGCCAGATGGTAATTCTATATTTAACTTGTTGGAGAAGCACTAAACTAGTCCTTGTATTTTTATTTTTGCATTACTGACTTGACAGCATTCACAGTAACACATTTCTGGTTTTTAGTGTGTGGTCTATTGATAAATTCTGAAGGTGGAAAATCAGTAATATGCTCTCACGGTGACTAAGTAAAATTGTTAAACGCATAGGCATGCTGGTTTTGGTTGTATCTCCTTTGGGCATATATATGTGTCTTCTCTGCTCTTTTTTGAGAGTAAGTTCTATCTGTACCCCCAAATTATCTTTCTACTTTTGACAGTGATTTTTTTCTCTTTGTTTACCTTTTACTTGGAATTTTCAAGTGTCACCAATTGTGGTTGTCCCTTCCTATTTAAGAATGTAATGCTTCTTTGTGTGCAAGCAAAGCTTCTTACCTAGTAGTATACTTTGGGTTAGAGTAGTTGGGGTGGGCAAGGCTGGGGTCATGTTGAAACGTATCTAAACAGAATGCAAGATTCTTTTCTCAAAGAAAGATCTTAGATTTTGTCTGCCAATGTGTGTCAAGGGAAACGGGAGGCAACATACACACTTCTGTATACACTTTCAATGAATCCTTTTAATCAGTGTGTATGTTTCCGCCCTCCTTGGACTCCCACTCTTCCTCAGTAATGGCCTTTCCAGACTTCGCTTTCCCCAAGACAAACTGCCCTGTTGCCCAGGACAAACTGCCTCCCTTTTCAGTGGTTCCTCAGCCTAATGGTTATGGTCATGCCATTCAAATACGCTCCCAGGCTTTATCAGTTACCATCTGTTCTGTCTTCTAAAAGTTTATCCTCATCTCTAGCCCATTGAAAATCCTTTACCAATTCTCTTTGTTACCGTTCTTTATTTTTCTTTCTCATTTTGTGAGGACTCGGGAAGGAGAGGAGAGAAACACGTTTGTACAATTTGTTATCTTTAGCTGGAATATCCCAATCCATCTTTCAATACTGATGTGCCAAAGGAACAAAACTGGGAAAAAAATCTTTTTCTGTAAATGCTATGACATATTTAGCTCACATTCCTTTGTCGGTTGAAAATTAAATAGTTTAATTGAAGGAAAAAATATTGTTTGAATGTGGGAATTTCTCTACCCTGATGAGCGCATGGATCACGGGGCAGGGGGATTGTCGCTTTAAAATATATTTCTGAAGAACGCAAATGCGAGTCAGGATTGTTCAATAGGACCAGGGTCTCTGATACTCTGGACGACCTGGCAAGCATGATTATGAAGACAAATGTCTAGTCAATGTCTCCATGTAGAAACAGTACCACAAAACAAAACAGGTAGTGATATTTAGAAAAGGGCAGAACAAACATCCATTGATTACCTATAATGTGTCTGATACAGAGGTACGTAGATCAGGCTTGTAGGACTCTCAGCTTTTAACTTGTTAATAATATCGTTCGGTTGCTTTATTTTATACATTTGTGTGTCCCCCCTATTAATTTCACTGACTTAATCATCTTTAGAAGACATCATTTTAAAGAGAAAGCTAACTTAGTGACGTTTTATGCTTCTAAGGCTATTTATTATAAGTTGATTGATTCTGGCTCTTAGTTTCAATGCTCTGGAAAATGCTGATGTACTTCCCCCTGGTGGCAGTCCGTGAGCATTGCGGAACAGACTGCTCACCCAAACAAATCTGTCAACTGCTGGCAACCCTCAGCTAATAATTTATGGGAGGCTTCTCCTACATATGTGAATTTATACATTTATTCTTTCTCAGTTGAAGAGCGGAAACTCACTACAGTAAAGTTTATTCACACTTCTAGACAGAATGAACTTGCTACAGTAAAAAAAAGCGACAAGAGGAAGAGGTAATAGAATAGAAGACCAACTTCTGAAATGTCTTATGTGCTACTTGAGTGCCATTCATATATATGTATGAATGTATATGTATATATGTATTTACATATATACATTAAAACACAGACAGACTAATGTGAATTGGGCTTAGTCAAAAAGTTGCCATCAAATGCTTGCTGAGTGCATAATATGTGCTGGGAACTGTGTAGAAAATAGCCTTGAGTGGGGAACTTCATCTCAAGTCTCACTTACAAAATTTTTATGATGAAACTTCTGGACATTTGAATGGACAGATCCAGAATTTTAAAAGTAGAAAGAGACTGATTCCCCAAATCAGAGAATCATAAGATTAGACAAGCTACTTGATCTCTCTTTTGGACTGAAATAGGGGATCAGAATGATACAAACAATATCATGGAATGTATCCCCCCAAATAAATAAGTTACAGTATGTTCCAAAGATTATTTTAAACAAAACTGCAAAAATTTAAATATGTTATAAGGCTGATGTAGATTTTTGTCTCAACATGTCTGGAGACTTTATTTATAATAGGTAGTAGAAAATGGATACGTAAAGATAGTGTCATGAATGTGTGGTTCTGACCCTTTTCACTCGTATCTCCTTTTGAAATGAGTCAAGCAATTATTAGAGTATGTTTAATAATCACTGTGAGGCTAAACTGGGAAACAGAGGCTGAATATACTGTATCCAAAAGAGAGAAATAGGGGCAGCAACTGTGGCTCAAAGGAGTAGGGCACGGGCCCCATATGCCTGAGGTGGTGGGTTCAGACCCAGCCCCCGGCCAAAAAAAAAAAAAAAAAAAAGAAAGAGAGAGCAATATTCTGAAGCTTCTGGGGAGACTGGCAATGAGGTCCTTCAAGGTACAGACAACTTCAGTACATATTGACAGTTATGAGCTACCTGTTTATATATCCCCTGAAAGGTAAAATTAAAAAATCTTATAATATCCTAATGTTTGTGAAGCTATGTGGAGACAGATACTGAAATGGTCACAAGAATGCAAATTAGAGGACAATTGTGTAGTCCTAAACTTTCACCTATCATATTTTTTGACCTGACAATTATCTTTTTAAGCATTTCTAAGTACATACTCACATAATTGCACTAAAATAACCATTTTTGTATTGCTCAAGGCAGAAAATATTAAAATCAACATCCATCAACTGAAACATAAATAAGCAGATCATAATATATAAAAACTATGGGATATATATTGAGCTTGAAAGAAATAAATCTATGTATATTGACATGAAAGTATCTGTAGAATATATTATTTAGTGAAAAGACAAATCAAACAACTATATGTAAAAATGATGTAACTTTAGTAAAGAAAATTTAATAATAAAGCTATGGATCTCAGTGGGTGCGTGGATACGCAGGTACATACATAGAAAGTGGTTTGGCGGGACACATATCAGACCAGCATGGCTAAGCATAGGGTTGAGGTAGAGAAGAGAATAAAGGAAGACTTATGCTTTCTCTTTACCATGTTTTAGAATGAAAGTACTAGAAAGTTACTCATATAAGTTTAAAACAAATAACATTTTCAAAATGTTAAAAAAAGATAAATAAGAAGGAAGATAAGGATGGAAGAATTTATACAGTTACAAATAATGTTGATTCTGTTGGCTGCAGTCCATATAGGAGAATTCAGAGAGTCAGCAAGAATCTGGTATGGACATGTTCATAATGTTTGTGTAAACATAATACAGCTTAGTCAGTCGTTTGAGAAACACCACTCTGCTTAATACAAAGTCATGTAGAATTCTGACTCCTTTCTCAATCCCCCAACCTACCAGCCCAATAACTCCAAGCAGACATCTAGTGTCCTCAAGACCCAAGACATGGAAAGTAGCACCTACAGAAATGCAGTCTTCAGAATCAGGTGGCATTATTGCACTTGTGACTTACATATCCCTTGACTTTCTTGGATGCAAAACTCAACACTTTGCTAATGATCATTACTATTCTGTCTTGCAGGTATGAACTGTCTTGCCTCATCCACACGGTCATTTCCTGTTGGAAACATAAAAGTTGTATTAAAATCATGGTATTTCTGTTTCTCAAAGTCTCCTTCTTTCATCTCCAACTTCACCAATTCAAGGGCCCTCATAGTTTCCTAATTATTTCATACTTAACCATCTTTTTTCTTTTTTAACTTAACCATCTTTTATCTCAAAAATATATACAACAGGCATCGAGTATTCTCCTTATTTACTATAGTAAATATATCTGGGGTTTACTGTAATTCTGTTCAACAAGCATTTACTGTTACCATCCACTATAATAACTGGAATGTCCGCTGTTTTGCCTCATCTTTTTCTGAAAAAGTATATATTCTCCCTTTCATTTTTAAATCTCAAACTCTGCTTCTCAGCTTTACAAGAGCTTTGAAATCCTATCTGACCCTGAAATGTCATCTTATCCTAGAATTCCTCGGCAAAGTCACTACCCAGAAATACGCTAGCTCATGGTTGCAGTGTACATTACTGCAGGCTATTTAGTTAGAAAATTCTTGCAAATTTCAATTCAAATTTGTCTTGCTGTAGGTTCTATTTGTTCTAAATTCTCTGGAGCAGGGACACATTTACAAATTTGGGAAGGGAAGAAAATTGCATATGCCTTGCATGCCAATCACCATCATCAGATTTCTTAAGGCAGTCTATTGGGGTCCATTGTATTCCTGCCAGTAAATGGTTGCTCACATCTCTTCCCCTGCATTTGCTCCCATTGTGAAGTCTGTTCTGCTGCCTACAGTGGAAATCTGTTTCCTAAGGGGAAAGAGTATCTAAATCTCAGAGGGGTCAGCCTCTGCCTTCTTTTCAGGAGGGAGGTTTCAGCTCTTTCTGAGGATCAGGGGAAGTTTTTAGCATTGGTAAGTATGAGGCTGAGGACAAAGTGGTTAAGGAACAGGCTCCACGCTGGAGGTCTTCTTCCACACATCACTGTTGCACATGTTACTGCTCCTTTCTCTGTTTCCACTTTCCTATCTGCCAAATGGAAGAAACAGCAGCAACTTCCTTGGGGTCATTTTATGAATTAAATAAAGTAACTCATATATTCACCTTAGTGCCTAACATGCTCAGGAAATGGAAGCTATTGACAGCCGCCTGGGGTGGTTAAAAGAGCACGTGTGGGCAGGGGGAGGGGCAATGCAAATCACTGCGAAAGGTTACAGGATAATGGTTTTTGAAATACACAGAATTAGGTACAAATTAGCTCAATACATTTTAGCTCCTTCGTATTTCTTCTTGTCTTCATTGATGTCAATACTGCTTCTTTACTATGATGTATTTTATTTATAATTTTTAAAATTTCAAAATATTAATTAAGAAGGTATGAGTCTTTTTGTTACATGACTATATTCTACAGTGCTTAAGTCAGGGCTGTTGGTGTGTTCATCATCAGAATATTGTTTATTGCAATCACTAGGTAAGTTTTTATCCCGCATCCACTCTCCTGCCCTCCCCACTCCTTGGTTTCTCACTTCTGTATATCACTTTGTGTCCGTGTGTCCCCATCTATTACTCTCATTCATGAGTGAGAACATCTGGTGTTGGTTTTTCATTTCTGAGATACTTCACTTTGGATAATGGTTTCCAGCTCCATCCATGTTGCTGCTAATGACATTATCTCATTCTTTTTTTCTAGCTGAGTAATATTCCGTGGCGTATATTATAGATAGCACATTTTCTTTATGCATTTGTGAATTGAAGGGCTCTTAGGTTCATTCAAAATCTTTGAAGTTGTGAATTCTCCTGCAATAAACACTTCCCAGGGGTCTCCTTATTCTCTACCATGGTGGAGGTGGGTTGAGAAGCAAGGCCGAGCAGGGCTGGGTCAGGCAGGCTAGACTTCAGCCACCACAACAGTGTGCATGAGTGCTATTGCAGCAGGGATCAAGGGCTAGGTCCCAGGAAAGCAACCAAGGAGATGCTGAAGCAGATCCACCAATCCAGAAAGTCTGCTCATGGGGATGGCTGTCTGGGTTGCACACACTGGCTGTCAGGAAGGGGTTTCTCTCTTTTCCCGCCAACCCTGCCCCATGGGTCTCCTGGCACCTGACTGCAAACAGCAGTCCAAACTAGCTAAGCTTACCAGTAGTGGCACTGTAGGCTGGGAGTTTCCCTGCCCCAAATCCCTCCCTAAACCCAAAGCACGGCTTTCCTGTTGGGGGAGGGATGCTCCACAAGTGTGGTGTGGCTTGGACCCACACTGTACACCCTTTTCAGTTCTGTCTACCTGGGCTCCCTCACCCCTCCAGATTAGTTCACAAATCTCACCTCTGTGCCCTGGAACAACATGATCAAATCCTGGTGCTGTAATATCAAGCCTGTATGCCTGTCCCCAAGGTCAATCCCTAGCCATGAGAGGGAGAAGTGTGCAGATCCTGAGTTGCTCAAGTAGGTTTAATGTCCCTCCACTTCCGAGTACGCCCTGAGCTGTTGCAGCAGTCACACAAGCAACACCAGGGAAGCCTGGCAGGCAGGGAGCCCAGCATCTGAGCACCCTGGGTTCACTGTGGAAAGGTCTGAGCCCCACTCTCTGTGGAAGCCTCAGTGTAGGGAATGTGCCAACAGAGGGGAGCAGCCACTCTGAGAGCCCTGGCTCAGTTATCCCTTGGGGCACCCATGTCTCCTGGCAGCAGTGGAGGTGGGGGAAGAAGAAAGAGTCTGAATGGAAGAGAGCCAGCACTCTGGTCCTTTTTTGCCCCTGTCCCTGGAAGGCAGCCTGCCTGCAATGTCCAGGCTCTAGGATCGCACAGTTCTCCTGGGACCCAGAGGCCCCTGTGGCCACCACAGTCAGTGCCAGAGCTAGGATGAAAAATAAATATATTTATGTGTGAACCAGTGACACAAAAACTGAAGGACTGAAGCTCCCTGGGAAGGATGAAGGCACACAATGGGCGGTGAAGCAGTATGGCGCCCACCATTTCACCTTGGGTCTGGGTTGACGATGGCGACACTGAGGGGAGTGGCATCCTGGTGCTTTGTTTTTAAGAACCTTCCAGTTCACTGGCAGCAGTAACTTTTGGGCTTATGAGGGTAGAGAGACTCTCCTGCATCTCAGGGTCTCAAGAGCCTGCTGACTGTCAAAGGTGTCAGGGGTGGAGCAACAAAAACCCCACCTACCATTTCCGTGGGACTCCAAGTTTCTTGGGGATTGATCTCTGCTTAAATCTTGCTGCTTCTTGTTCTGCTCTGCGACTTCTTCCCGTGGAAGGATGCTGGTCCCAATTATGCATGGAATTTCTGGTACTTCCAGCACTTTGCCCTCAGAATTATACCCAAGCTATAATGTTTTCATCAAAACTTTTCTTTTTTTCTGAAATAACCTGGAAACTAATGTCTGTAGTCAGCCACCTTGCCCCAGCCTCTTTCCTTGGATGTATTTATAATTTGTACAACTTGGTAGGTTAAGGCAATCTGTTTTTCCAGCACTTCCAGACAGTTGGCCTCTGATGTGAACATGTTGGAATGCGTAATTGAAGAGGATAAGGCATCCAGAGCAGTCTTTTGTGTCTGGTTGAGATATTAAAAATAGTGAGGTCTTGGTTGTAAAAGTTGGTGTTTTGGACAATTGTTAGACCAACCTTAGATACAATAATATCCAGTAAGAAGAATGTGCACAACATTCCCTAGCACCAGAGTTGATGGGGGAAGAAGCACACGCGTAGACATGGTCATAGCATAGTTCCTGGCCATGTGAACTTGAAGGTAGTTTAGGCTAATAACATTCTCTGCTGTTTCATATTGTGTTCGTTCATAGTTGCCACAAAAGACTTGGCTTCTCAAGAGTCTGCTGATGTCATCTCCCCAAAACTGAATTCTTAAAACTGTGCTTCTGTAATTCACATAAAAGGAAGTGCTTTCATTTGTGGAATAATTTTACTCCTTTGGGGGTTAAAAGGAAGTTTCAGTTCCAAATACTTGCAGGAAATTCAAATATGGCAAACGGGAAACAAGTGAAGCATAGTGAATTCTCCAGATTGATAAGAAAATGAAACTATTTATTTTCCCTTTACTTTACCGTTAAGATCTGTAGTTTGTAGAGGTCTTTAGCCACTAAGATCAGAAGAGTGTCTTCATATACGTTTAAAGTATTCTGGTATAAATTCTGAAATAAAAAAAAGGTGGACAACCAGTTGGCCAACCTCAGATAAAATTTTACTGAATGTCTAAATTCTCCCCACAAACTGTAGGTAAGAAAAAAAGAGAGGTGTATACATTGATGAGACCTCACCCAACACTATATGCTATGAATTGCTTCTCTAGCTCATAGAGAAAGTAGCTGTGTAGCAATGCTGAAGAAATAGAAACCATAGACTCTTCCTACTTCCATCTTTTTCTTCCTATTTATTCCCTTCTTGGAAGCACTTGCCAGGAAACTTCCTGTCCTTGCTAAATTAATTAATCAAAATATCTTTATTCATTTGTTCCAAGAAATCCCCAACAATCCATTAAAATCCCATGGGTTGTAGAATTCATAAGGAGTCCAGGGGCAAACATTAGTGCTAGAAAATACTATTTATCTGTTATATCTACAAACAGGAAGATGCCTACAAAGTTCATGACCTACTGAGACACGTTCTGGAAGACGGCTGTGATGCATAATGATATCTCATTATGATTGAGAGGTGAAAAATCTTACCATCAGGTCCTCAGTCTCCTCTTCATTAGTCCCAATTTCTTTTACACTTTCGAGACTTGGCAAGGTAACTAATATTTTAAAGCATGCCTCCATCATCTTCAATTGAGTTTCAAATTGCAATAAGGGATCCATAAAGCTGTCAAGAAAAAGATATAATTATTACATTGATGAGAAAAGAAATGTAAGATCACTTTAGTGGGTTTTCCTTAGGAATAAGAGAAAATAAGTTTCAGGTTTTTGCTACATGTGACACATAGTTCTTAAATATGCCCTTAAAAATGACAACAATGCTTTAAATGTGAAGGAATTAATTCCTTTAAAAATAGCTCCTATAAACAGTTATTTAAAAGTAAGAATATATTTTCCTATAAACATTATAAGGCAAAGAGGGGTTGCATTCTCAGCCGAGTCCACAGAGCCGTGCTAAACTTTAGACAGCTGAACTATATTACTGTCAAATTTTCTCTAATTACTGAAGACGTATCTTTCGCATTTTAATATTTCTGATATTGTGATCCATCTTCAAATTGATGGCAAATGAAACTTGCCCATCCACAACTGAAAAGTTTATCTGCCTGTACATGCAGTACGGAAAGAAGGAAAGAAATCACATTTGCTGGATTAGGATGGTGGAATTTAGTATAGTTTAAAAATTCTTACCATTATGATTTTTTAAAATATATAACATTTTAAAGATATTCAGTCAGCAAGACGAGAGAACCTCACAGCTTCCCATACCTGGAGTTCATGGACAAGATCATGGACTGGTGACTTAAGAGGCCTGAGTATGCATCACACAGGTTGGCGGCTGTATGCTCCTAAATACCACAGGCAACAAAAAGAAACCGTGATTACAGAAGACTGACGTTCATCACATGATGTGTAGTTCTCCCTATTACAGAGGCTAAAGGGAACAAATCAGACTGGAAAATAAGATCAAGAGTTCACCGAAGTGTTGAGATCAGACGACTATAACTTATACCCACTGTAGTATTTTGGCCTCAATGTTGGCCTTTTACAGCCAACTACTATGGTTATATAATTACCGTTTCCAGATAGCACTTTGAAAGGGATGCTCTTTGTCAGGTGCACTTCTGTGTACTAGCATAACTTAAGGGCGTCTACTCGGTGTGAGTTACTTATAAGCCTTCCAGAAGGGCAATTTAACTCAGGTCTTACTAAAGGACTAAATTCGCATTATAAAATGAGAACCACTTCAGAGCAATATACAGCTGTCTAATATAACTATTTATCCTTTAAAGGTGATAATTAAAGAGATTCCATTAATTAAAAAAAAGAATTTATAATTATTTTTTTCAAGAAATTTGAGACAGAGACTTCAATTAGTCAAAGCAGTCTTAAGAAACAGTAAAGCTGGAGGCATCACACTTCCTGATTTCAAACTATGACACAAAGCTATGGTAATTAAAATGCTGTGGACTAGAATAAAAAGAAACACAGGGACCAATGGCATGGAATAGAGATCCTAGAAACAAATGCATTCATACAGGTCAGCACATCTTTGATAAGAGAGCCCAATGGGTACACAACGGGTAAAGAGTAGTCTCTTCAATAAATGGTGATGGAAAACCTGTATGTCCACATGCAAATAAATGAAACTGGACCCTCATACTATATATAAAAGTTAAGTAAAATTTATTAAAAACTTAAATGGAAGACTTGAAGCTATAAAAATCATAGAAGAAAACATTGCCTTTACACAGATCTTGGCAATTATTTTTTGGATACAGCAGCACAGCACCAAAACCAAAAGTGAACAAATGGGACCAAACTAAAACTCGCTGCACGGCAAAGGAAATAATCGACAGAATGAAAAGGCAGCCTACAGAATGGGGGCAGTGATGGTGTCTGGACTATGCTACGTGTGTAACAGTGTATATATCCCATTAAACCAAAATTTAGTATGATCATCTCTCACCAATGGCAGGTCTTATTTTATAATTTCTACTAGTAAAAATATAATTTCAAATTCACATGGAAAGATATCATCTTTTTTTCTACTTATTTTGATTAAGACCCCCTCCTCCTTTCTGCACTAGGGAAATACAGAGAGATTTTAGGTGGATTAGGGACAAGAAAAAACAATCCAATGATGTGAAAATAAAGGCTAGAAGAACAAAAGAAAGTTAAGATAAAATGGAAGATTTGAGGGTGAGGGACATTTACAAACGTGGATAGTAAACAGCTCCTTGACAAGAATAAGAGATGAATTGCATAATTAGATATAGATACCCAGTTTGATACTGCTCTGAAACAGATTATTCACAGAAGCATTTCCTTGGATTCACTTTTAAAGTATTATACCCTATTTGTTTAATCATTTAAAAAGGTATATGTACTTATGTGATGCAGTACAAAAGGGTAAACAGTAAACAATGTCTCTTTCCTGACCACTTTCTCCCATACCCAGAGTCTACAATTATTACTGGTTTCCTATGCATCCTTCAGCAATACGGGATGTGGCTACAGGAATGTTAATAATACTCTTTTTACTGTAGGAAATGGTTCCATTTTTTTGCTATAACTGCTGCCACTGTGCTCTGTCTGTCTTCTCTGCCAGCTCCCTCATTCCTCCTTTTCCTGCTTGGTAGCTATCTTCTTTATTGACTGTTCTGAGTCCATGAATTTTCCATCTCTATGGTTATTCTGTCTCATTTTTATTGTCCATATTGAGTTCTGTTTATTTAAAATCTTTGACTTCGTAATTTGCTCAAAGGTCTTCCTTGATCTCCAGGGCAGGTAAGATTTTTGGTTTTAGGGTAGACATAGGCCTGGGAAACAACGTAAGATAAGACAAATGGAAGAAGGAAGAGGCACCAATAGAATAGCGCTCAGCAAGGAAGGGAAGCCATGCAGTCAGAGGTGGGGCGAGAGGGGCTGCAGTGTGGTAGGAAGGGATTCCACAGTGATGAGGGACAGAGGGTATGAGTGGGGAGACTGTTACAGAGACCAGTCTGTAGACAGAAGATGAGTGGGAAAAACAGTAGGGTGGATAAAAATTTTCGTCCTTTTGCATTAGTACAGAAGGTCATTTCCAGGGGCACAGGAAAGTGTGCAAGACCTCCAGATGTGGTGACTCACACCTGTAATCCCAGCACTCCGGGAGGCCAAGGCATGTAGATCACTTGAGCACAGGAATTCTAGACCAGCCTGAGCAAGAGTGATATCCTATCTCTACTAAAAATAGACAAAATTAGCCAAACATGGTGGCAGGCATCTGTAGTCTCAGCTACTCTGGAGGCTGAGGTAAGAGGATCCCTTGAGCCTAGGAATGTGAGGTTGCTGTGAACTATGATGATGCCACAGCAATCTACCCAGGGTGACAAAGTGAGACTGTTGCTCAAATTACTCTTTGTTTTTCCTTCTACAGCCTCACATGTACTTGAAACGTTAATTGTAGCATCTTTGTAATGAAGACAGTGAACAGGTTATTTTTTCCAAGAGATTTCAGTTACGTTAATGCTTTTATAAAATATCACTTACCAGGTGGTGCCATCCCATGGTAGACTGCAGAATCTGGAGACTAGTCACTAGCCAGAAAGAAGATGGAGACTAGATGAAAGGGAATGAGTATAACCTCTTATCACTTTATTGACACCTTATCCCCAAACTTGAAGCTAGTATGACTTTGATGGAAAAGCCCAATAAAGACATACACGTACACACAAAAACTACAAATACATTTGTTATGGCTATCACTAGATAACACTTAGCAAACAGATGTAACAGTACATTAAAAAAATAATATGCTATTCCAAACATAGAGAGTTGTTCAAGAAAAGAAAATCCATAATTCAATTTTTAACATTAGTTGCTAAAAAAATAGAAAAGAAAACATACATGAATATTTTTAACTGAGGCTAAAATTTCTGATAAGATTTAAAATCTAATCTTGATAACAATTCTTAACAAAATAGATATATATTTAACTTCTTAAGAAAGCCAGCATCAAGTGCAATAAAGAAATAATTAGAAGAATTCTCAGTAAAGAATATGACAAAGATGATCATTGTTATAATGCTATTTTCATTTCCCATTACTGGAATTGCCATTCAGTATTATTAGAAAATAGAATTGAAGCAGAGAGAGGGAAGGAGGAAGGGAGGTGGGATCTTGGTGTGTGCCACACCTTTTGGGGACAAGACATGATTATAAGAAGGACTTCACCTAACAAATGCAATCAGTGTAACTTGATTTCTTGTACCCTTAATGTGTCTCCAACAATAAAAAAAAAAATAGAATTGAATGCACATATTAAAATTAGAAAAGGAAAGATAATGTTTTTCAAATTATTAACTTCACAGAAAAAAATATGACTGCCTTTTGAATTTTTCTATGCTATCAGAATTATTTAATTAGAATTGGAGTTACTGGTTAACTGAGGTGTTTGGTCAAATTGCCTTACAAAAATCTTGGGGACCTGCTATGTTTTTGTCTGATTGTTTGGAGGAGGTAGCCCTTAGATAATTATTTTTATTTCTTCCATTTTAATTATTCTGTTTGGACGTTTTAAAAAAAATTTAACTTTTTTTAATAATACACTTCTTATTATGGAATAATTTTATATCTACAGAAAAGTCATGAAGACAGTAAGAGTATACTCATATGTCCTGCAACCAGTTTTTCCCCATGGTTATGTAACACCTTCCATTAACAGGGTACATTTTCAAGACTAAGAAATTCACATTGGCACAATTTTATTAACTAAACTGCAAACTGTATCCAGATTTCACTTGTTTTTCCAGTAATATTCTCTTTCTAGTCCAGATTCCAATGCAGATTCTGTGTTTCACTTAGTCCGTCTCCTTAGGCTCCTCTGCTCTCTAACAGTTGAGCGATCTTTCCTTATTTATGAACTGGACAGTTTTGAAGACCGTTGGCTAGGTATTTTGTAGACTGTACCTCACTTTAGGTTTATCTGATTTTTTTTTCAGATAATTAGTTTGGGGATATAGGTTTAGGAAAAAAATATCAGAGAGTGGGCACCCTACTCCTCTGAGCCACAGGCGTTGCCCCAACTACATCTTTATATGAATCTTCCCCCTCCCCTTTCTGCCTTTCTTAGATGAATTTTATTATTCTTTTTTAATAACTTCCTCTCTTAGATATTTGCTTCAATTATTTTTGTTCTTTCTGGTGTATTATTCTAAGAATTAAAGGCTATAAATTTTTCTCCGTTCACCCCTTTGCTGTATACTACAGGGTCTGATATGTATTGTTCTCAATATTCCCTAATTTCTTCTTCAATTCAAGAATTAGTACAGAAAGTTTAGTTGGGAACCGGTAGATTGTTTTTGCTTTTCTGTTTGATAAATTCATTGTTATTTTCTAGTTTTTTGCCTTGTGACCAGAGAATATTTCTACTATTTCTACTTTTTGGAGTTTATACAGAAACTTCTAGCCTAAAATATGGTTGCTTTTGTGACTGTTCTATGGGGGAGGAGGTGTATTCTTTGGTTTTATAGATACAGATTAATAAATGGGTCTCTCTCTTTCTTTTTCTCTGTTTCTCTTTCTCTTACACATACAGACACCGAGACACATACATGCACACCTCTATATCTATCCATTATGTCCTAAAGCCTTACTTGGTTTTTTACTCCTTGTTGACATGCTGGCAGATGGGAATTAAAGTCTTCCACTGCTGACGCTATAAAAGAGTATTATGTATTAGTACATAAACCAGTAACTTTCCTATAGTTTCTCTATCAATTTTGATGCTACTATGATACATAGTATGTATTCTATAAATTTTTATTGCTGTGCATCAACTTGTCACAAAGCTAATGGTTTTATAAAAAAAACCATTTATTGTTTCAATTTCTGTGGGCCAGACGATTCAGTTTCAGCCCAGTTTAGTCTCCGTTCAGGGAATAAAGCTGGAATCGAGGTGACAGCTGGTAGTACTCTTATTTGAGGCACAGGGTCTTTGCCAAGGTCATTTAGGTGATTGGAAAAATTTAGTTGTTTGAAGCTGTTAGATTGAGGGCCCTGTTCTCTTGCTAGATGTGACTGAGGCTGTCGCTCAGATCCTACAAGCTGTCTGCAGTTCTTTGCCACGTAAACATTTCCATAGGACTGCCTCCAACCTGTCTAGACACAGATTTAAAGAGCTAATACAATTAGATCAGGGCCACTCAGATAATCTCCCTTTAACCCAAAGACAAAAGATTAGTGACCATAATAACAGCTATAAAATCCCTTTGCCAGGTATAGAACATAATCATGAGATCGATTTTTCATCCTATTCAGAACTTCAGCCTATACCCTTTCTTAATATTTCAGCTTCAAAGGGAGGGATGTATACAAAGGAACAAGAATAATGGGAGCTCAGCACTACCCTGGGGCTGGAGACTTTGCTCCCAGGGTCCACTTCTGCTGCTGAGTCCGTGGCCCCAGAGTCATCCCCAGGACCCAGGGTTACACCACTGTGGTTCCAATGCTCCTGTCAGGCCTGCAATTCCACCTGTAGGAATCCAGAGCTGCTCCTGGACTCCAAGACAACCATCTCCAAATCTCCACCACTGCCACCAACCAGTGGAACATCTCTGAGGTCTTTTCTTTCATCACTCTCTGCATGAAATGGCCAATCTTACTATATATATATATATATTTTAGTTTAAAAGTATCATATACACAGATACCTAGATTTTTGGTTCCTATAAGTAGTTGACAATGCAGATATTTCATATATCTCCACTACTAGTTCACACCATGGAGTATCAGTGTTGTCTTTACCACTGGAAATAACATCATCATCATGTTTGCATTTAATAAAATGAAATAGAGAATTCTAGAGACCCCAGAACTAATTCAGGAAACTCATTATTTTGTTCCTCTAGAACTACTGTTGGCACCAAAATATATGTTAGTCAGTATTAGAGAAAAAGTACCAATACATCTCTCTCTATGTGGATAGATATAGATATAAATATAGCCATAGATATACAGAGACATTTCTTATAAGGTATTGGCTCATGCAATCATGGAGGCTGAGAAGTCCCACCAACTGCTGTCAGCAAGCTGGAGACTCAGGAAAGTAGTTTAAAATCCACCTTGACTGGAAGGAGGAATGGCTAGATGTGCCATTATAAACTGATTCATGGGCTCTGGCCAATGGTTTGCTTGCATGGTCAGGGACTTGGAAAGAACACGATCGGAAAGTTGGTGTTAAGGAAATCTGAGGAAGAGATATGTGGATAGATCTCTCTGACCAAAAAGCATGAAGTATTTGTGTCCTATGAGAATGTTCACCAAGGGGTGACCCCATCAGAGGATTTTAACAATCAAGTGAACAGAAAGATCCATTCTGTAATTACTAGTCGGACTTTTTCTCCTTTTTCTCCTGTCACCACCTAACAAGCTTCTGAACAAACTGATCATGTGGCAACACAGATTTTCATTCATCAAGGATGATCTGGCTATGGCCAGTACTGAATGCTCAGTGTGCCAGCAGCAGAGACTAAAATAGAGTCTTTGATTTAGCCCCAGGGTGATGAGCCAGTTACCTGATGACTGACTGATTGCATCACACTGTTTTTGTCCTGGAAAGGACAGTATTTTGTTCTCACAGGAGCAGATACTTTGGGTATGGATTTCCTGTTTCTTTTCTTTTTGATGGTTTTTATTATTTTGGGGTTTTTAGATTTGCTTTTCTTGCATATAATGCTTTTGCCCAAACTATCATCTATGGCTGCACCCGTAGCTCAGTGGGGAGGACACTGGCCATATACACTGAGGCTGGTGGGTTCAAACCCAGCCCAGGCCAACTGAAACAACAATAACAACTGCAACAACAACAACAAATAGCCAGCATTGTGGTAAGTGCCTACTTGGGAGGCTGAGGCAAGAGAATTCCTTAAGCCCAAGAGTTTGGGATTGCTATGAGCTGTGATGCCATGGTACTCTACCCAGGGCAAAAGCTTGACACTCTGTTTCAAAAAAAAAAAAAAAAGTATCATCTATGGACTTACAGAATGCTTTATCCACCATTATAATACTCCACACAGAATTGCTTCTGATCAAAGAACTTACTTCCTAACAAAATAAGTGGGCCAATGGGCCCATAAACATGGGATTCAATGGTTTTGTGTTCTCTACTATCCTGAAGCCACTCTTTTGATGAAATGGTAGAATGAGTTTTTTTCTTTTTTTCATTTTTTAAAAATTAAAAAAATAATAATAAAAATAGGGTCTCATTCTGTCACCCAGGCTGGAGTGCAATGGTATGAGCATAACTCATACCTGGGATCAAGTGAAGATCTTTCTGCCTCACCCTCCTTAGTAGGTATGACTACTATTAGTAGGTTGCTACTACTAATAGCAACACCACACTTTGCTATTGTTTTGTTTTGTTTTGTCTGTCCTTCCTTTCTTTCCTTTCCTTTCTTTCCTGACAGTCTCAAGCTGTTGCCCTGGGTAGAGTACTGTGGCATCACAGCTCACAACAACTTCTTACTCCTAGGCTTAAGCAATTTCTCTTGCCTCAGTCTCTCAAGTATCTGGGACTACAGGTGCCCACCACAACACCTGGTTATTGTTTTTTATTTTTT